TTTTGTACAAGGGAAATGGTGGGTGCAATTTAGCCGAAAGTTGACTCGTCGGACAGATATAACTAGTGAAAAACTCATTTCCATGAAGTTGCCTTTTCAAAGCTGGATTTCGACAGACAAATTGACTCGTGGGACGGTTTTCAACACGGGAATTGTCCTTTGTAAGAATTATGGGAAGTAAGAAGTTCCTTCTGACATTTCTTTATCTGTAAATAATTCTTGATGTGAAAATAAAAAGTAGAATTAAATTCTCAAAACAAAAGGGCTTTTTTTTTCCTTTTTTTTTTGTTTATGGTGCAGACAAGTCTACTACTTTTCCAAGCATGCTACACGAACATACTCAATAGCAGGTAAAAAATCAAGAAAGAATACGTGTTGATATATGATTAGACAGTTTGGAAAAAGAAAAACACGACACCAATCATTGTTTGCCACTCTACTCTGTCACCTCAATCATTGTCCTTGAGTATGTCCAATGAGCATTATTCTTACTTTTTCATGCACTGGGAATTCATGCTGCCATCAATCTTAGCCATGTTTGGTTTCCATAAGAATCAAGTTTTTAGTAATTTTTTATAAAAATTGATAAAATATATGGTTAAAAAATTACAGATCCCATTAAGTATGTGATTATAACTAATTATTAATTTTAACTTAAATTTTAATATAACTTTTTTTATCGACAAATAAAAATATGTATAGATCAAAAATAGTGCACAAGCACTCCAATAATACTTGAGCTTACAAGGTTACAAGATGTACATACGATAAAGATTTAAAGACCTAACACGACTCAAAATGAATCAAAACATAAGGATACAATAAAAACATAACTTTGTATCCATGTGTTTTGATCTGTCTAACAATGCTATCGGATTGCAGTCTAAGATCTTAAAAAATCAGCCTATTTCTAGCTGTCCAAATATGGTAAATAGTGTTGGCCAATGCAATTCTCTTGGCCTTGCTTTGCCAAGCAGTCCCACATCTCTCCTTGATCCATTTTCAAAGCACTAGTAGTTGAAGACATGGCTGTCGATATCCATGTGTTGTAGAAGGTCTTTAGTAAGAAGCTTACTCTATGCACTAAGCCAAAGGATAAAAGAATGCTTAGGAGTGATACATGAGCTCGAAACTTCCTTTGCCCAACACATTGTAGCCCCCTTTGGTCGAAAATACTCATAAGCATTAGAAATGCTTACGTTGTCGCCTCGAATCCAAATTGAAATTCTTTGAATGGTTGCCTGCATTGATCCCTCAGAATGCTTCAATAAATTCGCGGTAGAAATTTATTCTTGATCAACGGCGAGTCATCCTTTTTGGATGAGCATTCCCAAATAGCAGCCTTACTCAAATACACGTGGTTGATCTATCGGACTAGTATGACAACTTTTGTACCCTGACCTGTTGAGGCACATACAGCGATTTACTTCCTCCACAATGCTCTAGGGGAGGGGAGGGGCGGGGCGGGGCTCGTACAATTTTATATTTAATTTATCATTAATAAAAGTTAAAAAAATAAAAATAAAAAATTGGAATACAATGTTGGAGTATATGACGTGTTTGGTATGTTGGTGAGGGTTAATTATGTCAATGGTTAATGACGTTTTGAGTAATTACGTCAATGTTTATTGAAATTATTTTCTTATGGTAATAGTCACTCAAGTTTTTAACGATTATTATAATTATCACACTCCGTAAAAAAAAAAGTACCAATGTGTTAGCAAACAATGTCATTAATTTGCTACGTCAAGTTAGAAAATAATATTATAAGCAAATAAAAAAACTTCTCCTTATTTTTTAACCAAAAATTCTCCATCAATCCACTATTTGAAAATGTATTTTTCCAATTTAATGGGGCCAAAACAAGTCCTTAATAAAAATCCATTGAGGCAACAATATCAAGTAAAGAAAAAAAAAGAGTACACTTATTTTTAGAGTATTAAAAGGAAAAGTTGTCTCTTTAAAGTCTTACTAAAAAAATTCAATAGGATAAAATATGAGTGAATGAAAAAAAAAAATGAAGCTACTTCCTTGATGTTGATCACTAAAGATTTTTGAGTCGACACATTCTTATCTCGTGTACCAATTTCTTAAATGTAGACGTTGATAATATTTTTGTGAATAAGTTAGCTACATTATCATTTGGGCGTATTTATTGAACATCGATATCATCATCCTTTTACAGCTCATCTATATAGAAGAATTTTAGGGTCCGTTTGATTGTAAGAGTGGAATTTGGGCCAAAAAAAATAAATTCCAGGGAATTGAATTGCCTATAATTATTTTTCTGAGAATTGTCAATTAATTGTGTTTGATTGGTATAATTTTCTACTTGGAAAATATCTAAAATTTGGATCTTTTGGTATTTGTTTGACTTTATTTTTTATGAAAATTGTTCATTAAAAAGAATTTTTCTTTTTACAATTGGTGATAAAATTTGTGTCTATTGCCAAAAAAAAAAACTTGGAACCCATTTTGCCACCTCATTTCCTTTAATTGGAAAACAATTCGTGTGGGCTGGGTGAAATTCGTTTTTCATGGCAAACAAAATCCATCAAACTTTCCCATTTTTCCATGGAAAATGGAAAACAATTTCCATATTCCATGGAAAAAAAAAAAGGCTATCAAATATAGCCTTAGAAAAATGTGCTTTGTCGTCTTAATTCAACATCATGTGCCTCTGAAAAGGCCAAGATAAGAACAGTGATTTGTCTGCTAGCAGTTTATATTTTGAGCTTTTTCTTGTAACTTGAAAATAAGCAAAAAGATGTATAGATACTTTTTTTTTGTCAGATTATAGAGTGGTCCATTTTCTTCTACTTGCCCAGTTCAGATTTCAGGAACTGTAAAAGTAACATCCGAGCGCAGAGCCTGTGATCTTTGTGAATCAGCTTTTCTTTATTGTCATAATAATTGGATTGGTTCTATTCATTTGGATAGAAATAAGTTCATAATTGATATTCCTAAAGGTATTATTATTTGATGGATTTGTACATTTGTTATGTAACATAATTGGATGTATAGAGTGAGTTTTTATACCAAAAAATTGTCGATCTATTAGTTAAAATATAAATTATTATTTAATAAGAATAAGATTTATTGGAAATGCTCCTATATTGCACAGGCATTGAAAGATTGGAGGTGCCAAGGGATTGAAAGAAACTAGTTGTGTGGAAATGTGAGTATAAAATGGTTCGAGATGTTATAACACTTTTCAAACTTTTTTTTTTTTTGATACTCATGTGTCCACTTTCGACGACTAATAATGGGATCCACGTCTTGGCCCTTCAAGACGCAGACCAGATAAACTGCGGGATGAGAACCCCTTCCACTGATCTGCCAGAGTGTCGAGCGAGTCAACACGTGTTGCACATTGTCTTCCAGGAGAACTCATGCCTTCCAGGATAAATCATGCCTTCCAGGAGAGAGTCTACCTTCCAAGAGCCATGCGAATCGAACTCGCAACCTCTGAACTGTCATCAACTAAGAGCCTCATCCTCTGCCGGTTGGAATGTGCCCCGAGAGGCTACACTTTTCAAACTTCCTGCTAGGTACTGTGGTTATGGTGGTGTTGTGGTTACGGTTATGAAGATTAGTGATGGATATCTCGCCGTAATGGAGGTCGTGGTGAGATCTCTATCGTGAGATCATCACGGTGGTGTTGGAAGGATGAGATGGCTGTGGGCGGCGGCAGTAAACAATAGCAAAGATTTTAAATGAAATTTTGGAAGTTATAAAATGAAAACAGTATATTTGTAATATAAAAAAAATACTGAAAAGGCAAAGTTGTCCTCTTTGCTTATTTATAATTATTATTCTCAAAGTGTTCCTCAAAATTGAAAATATATAGTTTTAAATATTGAATTTAACCCGAATAATTAATTTGTTAATTTATTTTGATAAAGTGGAAACAATTGCATGAAATGATCAATATTTCATTTGAGTGTAGGTTTAAATCTAACAAACATTGCAGATCATTTGATTGACAAATCCTTTATATATATATAAAAAAAAAAAAAATTAAGAATCAATTGGTTTACTAAAAGAAAAATTTTAAAACTTGAAACTCAAATTTTGATTTTACATCAAAAAACTTAAATTGAGATTATCGTTATATTTCAAATTGTTTAAGGGGGTGTTTGTTTTTTATTCTCAATTTCTTATTCTTCAATAAAATAATATTTTCCATCACATCAATAATTTTATCTTCTTTTTCAACCACACATTTCCCATCATATCACTATTCAAAATCAATTCTTCCCCCAAAAAATCCCTACCAAACAAGCTTTAAATAACCAACATATAGATACTATATTACTCATTTTAAAAAGATTTGACTTTTTGGAATGTAATCCAACTCTTAATAAATCATTCTTGTAATTATATAAATATATTCTAAAATGATTAAAATGAGTCGATTTCAATTGACAATACAACGATCAATTTGAGAAGAATGTTAGATCCATTTTGTAAAGGGACTTTACTTGGCGGGAGAGTCACGTTACTTATCGAGGTAAGTTTTATGGATATTATTTAAAATCATGTGCTATAACACGTAACCATTAGAATGATCCCAGTACATCATAACCCTCTTGACACTACCCGAAAACATCTCTTTTTTTTATCACTCAATCTCCACTATTTGACTAATATCTCAAATAAAAAATATTGATCTTTCACATCAGAGAGTACAAAGACGCATATCCTTTCCTTATATTGATCTGCTTCAGTTGAAATCATATCTCAACTACAATAACAATAACAACAACAACACCAGTGTTTGTATCCAGAAAAGTTTTCTCTTTTGAAGTTTTTTACAATTCTTACAAGTATGACAAAGAAGGCAAAATAAGTAAATAAATTCATTGAGAAATCCCATTAAAGATTTGGAAAATTGATAGGATATTAAGTGGTGAATTAGGTCATACTTACATTATAATTTCTTGATTTATTGTACCTAAACCCAATTTGTTGGAAATTTGAAGTCCATTTGTTTCTATGGCAATTTGTCTACCGTTTTGTCTAAACTCACAAGTCACACCCACAAGCTTTAAATGTCGGTTCCATGTATCAAGATTTCAATCAGAGGGAAAAATATTTGATGTCCAGGTTCATTAATATTTGATGTCCAGGTTCAAGGAACCTCGACAACCTTTGACTAGTGCTTAATTTTCTTCATGCTTTTACCATGTATGATGCATGGGGTGGCATGCATGACATAGTGAGAAAATGTTGAAATTCATGTATAGAATGAACATGGATTTGTTGAAATTTTAGACTTCCTTGATTTGGTCAAATTGAATAGTGTATGACCTTTAATATAAATTGTTAATTTAACACTAGTTGGGCTTTTTAGTTGACATTTCTTACACTGAATAAAGACATATAACTACCATTGAATTGATGAGTTCTGCTATGTACCCATAGGGGTGTCGGTGCCCCCTATTGGTGGGGTGCCTGATAACGGGGGCGCGGACACCCCTATGGGTAGCATTTTCCTGAATTGATTAGCCCACGTTTCATATAAATTAAAATTCAGATTTTAATTTAAGTCAAAGTCAACAATTAATTTTAACTACATATTTTATGTGATTAATAACTTTTCAACCACACATCTTATCCACTTTTTTCAAATTTTACTAAAAATCTGATTTTAATTTCCACCAAATAGGGACGTAATGTTGATATTGGATTGTATTAAGGTATTTTTTCTAAGAATATGTCTTATCGTGTAATGTGCAGTTTGACATTATTATCATGTGCCGATAGCCCCTCGTCAAATTGTCACCTATTCAACATGATGTCATATCTTATATGAATGGTATCCTATAACAAGTTTAAATCCGTAGCCAACACACACTAGATAGCACGTGGGGCTCTTGGAGTGATCACTTCGGGCTTTCTAGTCATGTAGGACTCGCGGCATTTTTTACCTTGTTCGAAAAATTAAAACACTCTTGTCACGTCTTTCAATGTTATGGCTCGACTAGTAACAAAGTTGGCACCAAGGCTGTCTTTGCAGTACAGGGATGACTGGTCGAACACAGAGCCTGTCCCTCTTATTCATCCACTTTTTATTGCGTTATGTTTCACGTGGACAAATATAACTAATAATAATAATTAAAAATAAATAAATAAATTTCCATGAAGTTGCCTCTTCGTAGCTACAAATTGACTCGTGGAATAATTTTCAACACGGGAAGGGAATCGACGATTTATCAGAGGGCTTTAAATGCCTGAAATTAGTTTAGGTATATTGGGCGGCGCAGACAAGACTATTACTTCCTTCTTCATGCGCCCTTTAAAAAATAGATTTTTTATTAGATTTTAACAAAAATTAATAAAATATATAATTGAAAAATTATGGATTAATAAAATTAAATGTTAATTTTAGCTTCAATTGTAATGTAACTTTTTTTTTTTTTTTTGGTTGAACCAAACGTGAACTTAGCAAAAAATATGACCATTTCATCATTTTATTTCTTAATATTAACTCCCTGTTTGGTAGAGATTAAAATCAGATTTTAAGTAGATTTTGATAAATGTTGATGAAATGTGTGATTGAAAAGTTGTGGGTTTCATGAAATGTGTGATTAAAATTAATTGTTTACTTTGACTTGAAATAATAATTAAATTTTAATCAAAACCAAACATAAGCTAAATATTAAATTTTTATTTTCAAGAGACAAAATTGTGGATTGTTCGGAATTTTGAGGTTGCATTTAATTTAAATATTCGAATTTTATTTTCGCTTCATGAGCATCTCCAATGTAATCGTGAATTTTTAAAATATTTTGCCATTGAAGTAAAATAGATTGTATTCAAAAAGATTATCTCTAGTGCAAATTGGTTGGAATTCCACCAGTGATAAAATGGACATTGTTTAGATTTTTTAAGATTTAGTAGCTTTATTATACGAGGTGACTTGGCAAAATTAATATTTTATTTCCTGATTTATGTTTTCCGTACAATTTCAGACATGATTTATCTTTATTTTTAAAAAGTACAATAATTTTTGAAATTGAATATATATTTATTACTATCTTAGGTGCCAATAAGTCGAAGACTTGTCGATGTCCAATGAATGATAGTCAAACTCAACAACATATAAGAATAAATATACATCTAACGATGCATAAAAAATATAATTTTTGCCGAGTAAGTGTCGTATTTTATATAGAACTTTATATATCATTGGGTTGTGCTATGTGTACACAATGATGTACACCCCGCTCACATGGAGGGTGGCCCGTACATGATAAAATATGTGTGGGCCCCCTTCATGGGGGTGTAATGCATTGTGTACACCATTGAGTGTACACATAATATTATTCTATATCGTTTATTTTTTCTTTGACACGCCAGCTTGATACATATTCATATCCTATCATTTTCTATTGGAGAGAATATGTGGTAAACGTTTTTTTAGGAATCCATTGAAGCATGCTCTTAGCTTAATGAGAATGAGTAGCAATTCATCAAATAATACCAAACAATCATTTAATTACAACGCTCGTAGAACATTTATCAAAGAAGACAATGTTGGAGTGCATGACATGTTTGGTACGTTTGGTGAGGGTTAATTATATTAATGGTTAATGAACTTCTAAGTAATTGTGTCAATTTTTATTGAAATTATTTTCTTCTGATAATAGTCACTCAAGTTTTTAACGATTATACTAATGATTATTCGTTAAAAAAAAAGTGTCAATGCATTACCAAATAACGTTATTTGTTACATCAAGTTAGAAAAATTAAGGAGTTAGGAATTTTAAATTTATTCGTATGAGAAACGTAACGTGACTTTAATTTTGATCATATAGTAAACTCAATGATCATTGTCGTAATTACTAGAAACTTTAGTAAACATTATCGTAATTAACCCATAAAACTATTGATTAACAAAATTATAGGCCCGTCAAGCATTTCTATGATAATTATGATGCCTTTTTAATAAACTAGAGAAAAATGTCAACAAAAAATAGAGAAAATCAATAGATTTGTTTATATATATTTTTGAGAATCAGAATCTTATATTTATAGATAAGAACTAGGGTTGGAGGGGTAAAATATTCATAATAATCATAACTACATGAAATATAATTATCATTCATTCATTAGTAAAGAGATTTCACATTTTTGAATAGTAAAAAAAGCATTAAACAATTTCGATGGAACAATACATTTTTCAGTAGTTCAATTACTTTTATAAAAATTAAGCTAGTTGTACCTTCGTGGTGTAGAACTAGTTTGACACATTTGAAGTGTCAAATCGAGGTAATTGATTTGAATAAGTGTTGTTAAAGTCAATGATAAAATTGTATATGTCAAAAAGTATAAGCAAAGTTGTTAACCATGATGTAAGTGCAGCATGCCTTCTAAAATTGAATGGATCATTACACCTAAGGGTGTTAATTAGCTCGTTGATTAGGCCAGATAGTAGCTCGGTTCGAAAAAAGCTCGAATCTACCTACTTGAGGCTCGGTAGAACATAGTCGAGGCTCTGGTCAAGCCCCATTTTGGAGCGTCGCTCGAGCACGAGCTCAAGCTAGCTGACGAGCTCGAGCTCGACGAGCCACACGGCCAATTTTTGGCCATGAGCAAATTTATTAAAAAAAAAAAAAACATAAAAAGGAAGCTTTGGCAGCTAGGTAGCTACCGTTGCCTGCTACAAGCAGCAGGCAGCTGTGTGGTCGCCTTTTTCTAAAAAAAAAAAATTAAAAATCACGAGTTGGTCCAACTCGGCTCGATAAGGTCAGAATCAAAAGCTCTGATCGAATCTAAATTTTTTGGCCGAACAAAAGCTCGATTTGGGCAAAAAAAAAATTCAAATCATTTTTACTCGAGCTTGAGCTTTGAGTTTCGGCTAACGAGTCGGCTCGACTCGACTCAACTCTTTGACATCCCTAAATTTACACCCTCAATATCATAAATCCCATTTCCAGAATAACCCTTGCATTCATTATCGCTCATTCAACCTTCAATTTACCCTTGAAATGCCAAATGAAGACAAGGAATTGCTCCTACTTCACCGACACATCATTATATGCGGGCCCACCATTTGGAGGGAGTGAAAATGAGGGCTCAATAATATACATCTCGCTAAAAACCTTATTTGATAAAAATTCCACGACACAAAAATATCAAACGAAAAAACAAACAGTCTCATTCAAATCTGGCTGCGAAAATCTAATGGAATAAAAATTTGAGCGAAGGAAAAAAGTACAGCTACTTTCCTAATTTCGATTGCCGAAGATCTTTGAGTTGACAAGTACCTATCTTGTATATCAATTTCTTAAACGTAGACGATGTCAACTACATTATCACTTGAGTGTATTTATTGAACATCAATATTACCAATGTCCTGTAGCTCATCTATATAAAAGAATTGAATAATTCTATTTGTACAATCCAGATTGACAACCTCTTACATGTGTGCAGGGTCCGCATGTTTAAAAAAATT